AGAAAGTAAATACTTCATCACCCAGTTCCCGAAATGTTCATTCTAAAAACCATCCTTTGCCCACTTACCTAAGGTTCAGATTATACATCAAACAAGTTCGTCTTGAGCTCTCTGTGAAGGCAGGCTATTGAAAAAATAACCATCCTCACTTGGCCTCAGGGCCAAGATTGATATTTAGAGACTTATCAACCTTGACATCACAGCCACCTTCCCTGGCAGTGTTCTGAAACCCACCACCCACGCTTTCCCCATGTGGTGGAGTCCACACCAATATACTGCTGATTTTCCTCATTCAGAAAGTGGCTTATAAATCACTTTCCACACTTAAGAAGATACTTGCATTATCTTGAAGCAGGAAAAAAAAAAAAAAAGGAATGCTTCTCATTATAGAGACTTCAATACTAGCAATGCTGCTTAAATATTAGGACTCTATTCCATGTCTATCAACAGGACTTCATTTTCTGGCGAGTTCCATTTTGTTCTGGCCAGTTTTGTTACTGCTCTTTCCAAAAGGCGTAGGTGAGGTCAGCACAAGTGTGCATATACTTGGTACAAAAGCCCACGTCATTTTATCCATCGTGGCTGGTATTTCACAGCTGGGGCATAAGGGGTCACAAATGCTTCATGTGTGTCGTTGATTAAGGGATCAAAGGAGGAGCTGGGGAAGAGAGCTTTTTGAGATTCCTGCTCTAGAAACTCAATCCTCTGGGCCACAGGCTTGGTTTCATTTATATCTGAAATGTGACCAGTGCCCATGCCTGGCCACTTCTCATTCAGAACTATTTTTAAGGCGTCCACACATTCCAAGCTGCATATTCTATACGTTGTTCTCTCTTAACAAGTGGGACTCTCTCAGCAGGTTTGTTAGGAGACACGGGGAGCAAAGTCAGGGAAGAAATCTGGTACGCGGTGGGAGAATCGAGCTAACGTGTACTGAGATGAAGAGGTACCAGGAATACCTGTCCTTCTGAGCTGTGAAGTGTGGTGTGCCTGCATTAATGGGACAGTGGGTATTAGTGGGCTCTGACTTCAGCTTTCTCTGCCTGTGATCGTTTTAAGAGTGCTGGGTATGGATGTTCCCGTCCCTCCCTAAGATTAGTGTGTGCACCATCTGCGAGCCAGGCTTCTATTAGTTGTCACCTAATGACAGGCTTGTCATCTCCTGAAATGCAAGTGCAAGAATATGGTTTTTCTTTTTCTCCTTCTTGGTGTTGCTGCTGCTCCTGGTGCTTGCTCGTACTGGTAGTAGTGGTTTAACCTGGCCCAAAAACCCAAATCTCCTAAAATAAGAATATATCTTCCCTCCTGTGACCCTGAATATAAGGCAAATAACAGAAGGCTTTTCAAAACTGGGACTTGAGAAATGGATCCTTAAAAACAAAACAAAAAAACAAAAAACTTCAGCTTAAACACAGAAAGATTTTCCCCCCTCTTTTAAGCTGTTGATAGCAGGTCAGCTCCCCACCCCAAAGAACTATGGGCAGAGCTAAAGGAAATTCACACCTGTATAGAGGTAATCAGTTTGCACAGACAGTCATTTCAAAGGCAATGTAAGAGGAAATGAGAACATTCTTTGAGGCACGCCGGCTTCGGTCTTGGCCTCGTTTTGGATGAAAGTGTCCGGGTGTGCCTTTTCTCCACTTATGGTGGCACCCGGCACTGTCACGCTGCCTGTGTGAGTCTTCACCGGGAGAAACTTCTGGAAGAGTCGGGCTGCCCTGCTCACGGACAGGAGCTCTGTGTACCATTTCCGTGATAGCCTCACGGGAAAGAGGTTGTGGGCAACGGATCGGGGGATGTTTTCATTAGAAGGCTTTTAAGAGTTCTATGTCTAGCATCATCCACTGTACAATTTTTTAACCCAACGTCATATTCGAAGACCAAACTAAACAGTTTCTTAGGGTGACATCCACCCCAGGGACAGAGCGGCTCCCTCAAAACCCTGACTCTACAGGCGGTCTATGATGGGCTCCTGTCCTGAAAGGAAAAACAACGGAGCTTTCAAAGTGGTCCCGGAATGGGTTTTATCTTTTTAAAAAAATATTTTAAAACATAACGTGCTCGCATATATAACTGAATCTTCTGTCTGAAATGCCTTAGTGAATTAAGTCAGAACAAAGGATGTTTAAGTCGCAATTAATCTTATTACCCCTTCCAGGAAATGCTGCTGCTTGGGCCTTGCCTTTCACAATGAGCTTTTTCACTTTCTCAAGAAAACTTATAAAAACTAAAGGAGACCGGACAGATGTGTAAAGGAAGCAACATACCACTCAAGGTGAGAGACTTAGCTGTGCAGTCAGCCACCTGAGAGATCTGTGTTTCGGCACATCTGCCAGAGGAGACGGACCTCTTCTGAGCAGCGCCCCTCCCGGCAGGGTGGGGAGAGGGCTGAACCAGGCCTGAGGAGGCGGTTTGGGTGCCCCCTCCCTCCCCCCAGCACCAAGCACCCGGGGCCTTCCTGGCAGGCTGCCTCACTCTCAAGACCTCAGTTTTCTCAGGCACAGAATGAGGGCATGAGCCTGAAGATCTGACACTACCTTCCGAGCTGTATGGTGCAGGGATCCTAAGTCACCACGTGGCCCCAGCTAACTCCACTAATCTACCTTTATTTATCCTGCACAACACTCGGCTTGATTCAACAAAGTGTTTTCCTTTCCCCGCAGCCCCTGGCATCCAAAGCTACGCAATGCCATGTGTGTGTGTGTGGCAGGCAATGGGGAAGCTTCTCAACACCCCAGCGTTAAACAACACTTCATCAGAATTTAACTGAGGCAGCATGTGACATGTCTTGAATGATAAATGTGAAGGAAGGAAGCTGCAGCTCTCTTCAGGCAGCGATCAGAGAGAAGGGGCTGTGTGTTCAGCCGGAGCTGTGCTGGTGCAGCATCGGGAAGCAGCCAGGAAAAAAATCTGCACTCTGGGGGGCAGAGAACATTGGAACCCCAACTAGGGCAGCTGTGACACCCTTGCCACCTGGCCGTCTTCAGTGTCAGGACCACTTCCCTCTTTCTTACTAGCCACGCTTCACATTTACACAGCGTTCAGTGCTTTTCAGGGTACTCTCTCAATAGCTCAATGGCTCTAGGAATCATTCACATACAATCACGTGAGGCAGGTAGAACAGTCTTGCTCCGCCCATTTCACAGATGAGAAAACAAGAGGCTGAGGCTTGCTTGAGAAAGAGCTAGTAATGGACAGAGCCAGGCTTGAGCCCTGGGATCCTGATGCCCGTGCCAGACTGGATTCTGGCACAGCGTGGCCTCCCTAGCTAGGAAGAGCTAGGGGTAAAGTGTGAACTGCAGGCTAAGAAATAGGTCTTCCTGAGGGTTCCATCCTGGGGAGGAATCATCCAGTGCTTTTGAAATGCACACAACTGTGAGGTTGCTACTGCCCAGGCAACCATCATTCTCATATGAAGACCCTGTGTGGGGCACAGGCTGATCAGAGGGGCTTACCGCAAGGTTAGCAATACACAGCAATCACTGCATCTGTATTTGGGGAAACCCCCAAATATATGGTGCTCGGTTTCACTTTTGGTATAAATCCTAGGAACATCTTACCTGCCATTTTGGAATGGGAACACACTAAAAGTGATACACTGTGATGTATGTCCAGGGCCCAAAGACAGCATCCAGAAAACACTTTTTAGAATTACAAACACTCAGTCTTCCAGCTGGGATGGCCCGGGGTAGCCTGCGGTCACCTGCAGTGGCTGCACACAGCACGCCGGGCTTCTGCTTGCTTTGGGGGAGCTCAGCCCTGATGTGCGCTCGGCCCTCGGTGTGCGGGATGTCTCTCTGTCACACCTCCGTGTGGCCCACGGTTACAGCCCTCCCTTTGGGACAGGGACGTGGAGGCCACCTTCTTGAGCGAGCCTGGCCTCTGCCAGATAACGTAAGGATGGTGGGAGTACCATCCTTTCAGGATGTTTCTGAAACCTGGTTTTGTTTTTATGTAAGCCTTAAATGTTACTGCACGCCCAAATCTACGAGGGCAGAACTGGGACATACTCTCTTACAGGACAAGGGAAAAGTCCAGACCAGAGATACGTGAGCTCAGGTCTGGGTAAGCCCGCAGCCCCATGCACCAACCCGTGACAACAGGACCCGCAGCTCACCCGGGCGCTGGCTGCCAGCTGAGCCCAAGGGCACAGGCGCTGCTCTACCCCAAGTGCCTCCGTGAGCATCACTTCCTAGTCAAATGCCTGACTTTTTTGCTGGGTGAGCTTCCCTGTGCTCCCAGGAGTGAGTCCCCTGTCTTTGTCACCCCTGCTGTTTGGGAGTCACCGGGATGCCTCAGAGCTGGGCAGCAGTACCCCTTCTGGGACTGGTACATGAAGTCTCTTCAGCTGGACCTTTCCTAACGTGCGACAGGGCGCTCTATTCCTGCCGTCACCCGCCCTGACCAGCAGTCTCGGAGCCAGCGATCTGCTCCTCGGGGACACCTGTCTCTCTGTCCTGGGTGGAATTACTTGCCAGAAACAGTTTCCACCAACAGGGCGGCTGACAACTGTTTTACACCACGGAGCATCTACGGTGGCTGGGAGCTTTGTTGACAAGAGGTTACTATGGCAACAGGGCCTGCTGAGGAGCCCCCAGGCAGGGAGCGCCCTCCCTGATTCTGCTCACCGGCTGGAGCACTGTCACCAGAAACTACAGGACAGGCCACAAGAGACACAGCGAAGGACAGTTTCCTCCAGCAAAGACAGTGCTTGGTGGTCATGCCTGCTTTCTTTACTGTTTGACATAAAGCTACAGAACACTCACCAATCAGTCTCCTGTGTTTTCCTACAGTTCGCGGGCGGGACGATGGCTGTCCGACAGGGGTGCTGGCCCTGTGCAGACCCGCCCATCCCAGATGCATGCAATGGTTTGAGTCCAGTGAAGTCCCACCTGGTTCCATCTCCGCCCACCATGTCCCCTAAGGACCCAGGGAGGAAACATCACACGGCCAGCCACACAGCAAAAGGAGGGGCGGGGAGGGGGGCAGGGGGTGCTGACCTCTAGGCTGAAGTAGCTCTGGCCTGCCTGCCGGCAGCTCCCGGCGTCCCCATCGGCCCGGCGGTGCAACTGTTCCGGCTCTTCCCCGCGCTCCTGACCCGGCTGCCACTCCGGCTGACCTCTCAGTTTGGACTGTTAGGTGCATGGGAGGGATTTGGTTTTGTTTCGTTTTGTTTTGAATTTAAAATAAACAACAAACGATGAGGGCGTGGTGGGGGGGGTGGGAGGCAGGGAGTGGGGCTGGAGAAAACAAAAATGGGTAAGGCAGACAACCGAAACCACCGCCGGACCAGGAAAAGCATGACCGGACACGGCGCCATACAAGAGTGACGAGGACAGAGCCAAAATGAAGATGCGCAAAACAACGGCTGAGAGATCTGAGAGGCGACACGGGGCACAGAGTGGGGAAGAAGGCAGAACACCGGTTATGAGGCGCATGCGATGGGGATGCGTGAGTCAGACCCCACTGCAAGCACACACCCACGAAGGATACGGAAACAAGGCTCCTCCTTCCTCGCTTGTGGTCGAGCAGCAAAAGCCATAATCCGGGCAGCAGCTGGGTCATGCACCCAAGGGCGATGCATAGGAAAGCAGTCCTTGGAAGGCCACTCGGCTCCGCCCGCACCCTCGGCTCAGGGAGGGCTGCGACTTTATCCATCAGAACCATCCTTCTCCCCGGGGGGGGAGGGGGGGGCGGCTCCTCTGCCCACCCGGGCTCATCTTCCAGTGGGAGCGGGTGGGCCTGTCTGCCTAGGGCCTTGCGGAATGGTACTGCGTCCCTCCGGCAGTCAACCCCAGCAGGGATGCAAGCGCTGCTGGGCCAGTCTGCTAAGTGTCCTGACTGTGAAACGAGTTTGTACTTTGTTTTTAAACTCCTCTGCTTCTTCATCGGGGCAGCCGGTCGTTTGCGACACCAAAAAATGGAGAAAGGACGGACTGCGTCGATCCCTATCGCTTCCATTGGGGTGAGCCTTGTATCGTGAGGGAGGGCCTCTAAGCCAAGAGAAGCGGCGCGAAAAAAAAAAAAAAAAAAAAAAACAAAAAAAAAAAAAAAAAAAAAAGAAAAAAAAAAAAAAAAAAAAAAAAAAGAAAAAGAAAGAAACCCAGCCAATAGAAAGGATTTGGTTGACACTTGAGGCTTTAGTACAATGCAGGTTTGAAATCATAACCAAGCAGCCGTGAGCAGAATGAGTTCAAGTGCAGCAATGCCAGCGAGAAGGAGGAAGAGCAAAACGGAGCAGGGAGGCAGAGCCAGGAGCCCCCTTACCTGCAGGTCTGGGACCAGCTCCTTCCCCAGGTTCCCGACGGGGGAGTCCCGGGACACAGAGGTCACAGTGGAGAGAAAGCTGGAAGACTCCGAGAGGTGGGGCAGGGGGGACAGGCCTTCCAGGCGCTCTGTCAGGCCGTCCCCGATCCGGTTCACCTGCTCCAGGAAGGCCTGCAGCTCCTTCCTGAAAGCCTTCATCCTCGAGTTGATGGTCCCCAGCAGCGGGGGCTCCTTCTTGCCCTCCTCGCCCGTCTCCCCTGCCCCCTGGACGCCAGACCCCGGCGAGGCCTCGCCGCCGCCCTGCTGCACCACGTCGTCCCCGAAGCCGGCCGTGTCTGTGATGAGGCGCTCCACGGTGCGCTCGAGGCGCTCGGCCTCGTGCTTTATGCTGGCCAGGCACTCGGTGTCCTCCCTGGCCCTAAGGAGCTCGGCCGCACACGGCTCGCTCGCCTCCGACGGCTTCCCGCTGCCGAAGCCCGACGTCTTCTCGCACATCTCCTCCGAGTCGCTCTCGCCGCCAATAGGGCCCTCCCGTTTGGGCTGGGGCTGGCGGCCTTCCTCCCCGTCGCTCTCCTTCTTGCCCTGGTCGCTGTCCGCGTCACTGTCCCGGGGGCTCGGGGCGCGCAGGCCCAGGTGGGCGGCCAGGTCGTAGCGCTGCACATTGGACAGCAGCACCCGGTTCTCGTACTGCAGCTTCAGCACCTTCCCGCTCAGCTCGTTGATCTGCAGCCGGGCCGACTTCAGCTCCTCCTGCAGAGGCGCCCCGCTGCCCACGCCCTTGCCCGAGCCGTCCGCCAGCCACCCAGGCTCCGGCCGAGGCTCAAACTTGAACTTGCTCAGCTCATGGGTCAGCTGCCGGTTGTGGTCTTCGATCTCGGATATGGACCTCCGGAGCAGCTCCGCTTCCTCCTCCACAAACTGCAGGTGCCGGCGGAGCTCCGTCGAGGACTCTAGGGAGTCGCCGAAGGGTGAGGTAGGAATGCTTGGGATGTGGTCCCGGCCCGCGCCCTCTCGCTCGTACTGGACCCGCATGTCCTCCATCTCTGCTTTGAGGCCTCGGTTCTCCACCTCCAGCTCCACAATCTTGCGGCCTAAGATGTTGGCTTCTTCCTCAACCAGCTTGAGCCGCAGCTTCAGCTCGGCCTCCCTGGTGCTGGGCGGCCCACCCGCCTCCCCCGTGGGGAGAGGGCTGTCCACGTCACCGTAGATGGCCTTGTACCTCTGTAGCTCCTGTTCCAGCTCGTCCTTCTCCCTCCCCAGCTTGGCCATCTTTTTACGCATCAGGGAACCTTCCTCTTTGGCAAACTGAAGCTGGCACTTCAAATCGGCACTGTCATCCTGCCAGGAGAGAACAGCCCGAGAGAAGGGTTATTTGAAAATACCAAATGTTCGTGTTTTTGATGATTTCCCTCGCACCTCGCCCCCAACACGCACGCAAACACAAAACAACCATCTTTCTGTCAGTGCGTCGAGTTACAGGTAGAAGGAGCCAAGACAAAGCCGAGGTGAGCCCAGGCCTTCGCGCAGGGGACACCGTGAAGGCCGTTGGTCTGTTGCCTTCTCACAGAAACCAAAGGAACCAAACGAATCATTTGGGACAAACATGCACATGGTATCCATCATACAGGTGATGAGTGAAGAGGACGTAAAATGAAATGGGACCCAGTGTCTGTCAGCAACGCAGAGGTTCGTCCTTATTTTGTGAGTCCAATCCGACAAATCGTGAGCACCGGTGAGGGAGGCCAGCACCACTCACTAAGCCTGGTGTCGCAGACAGGTTTCGGTAGCTACTTCTACCTGTCGCCACTCACTTTCTCCACAGTGTAGACTGCCCTCATCTACAGTAGCCGGCAATCCACAGGTATTACCAGGACAGAGAGGCCCCAATCAGAGCCTGGCATGCTATGGCTTTGTCGAGACCCTGAGACGTGGCAATTCAGCTCTACTCCACCCCGGTCTCCCCACCCCCAGCATATTACAAGGATGACAGAAGGATGAGAACACGGGATGACAGGCAGGAGGCGGCTTTTAAGTCTAAGTGAGCAGCAAGTACCACATGGTTAGGGTGAACTGTTATTGCAGACCTAACACCTGGGTTAGTCACAACCTTTCACAAGGCAAGGGCTACATCCGAACCTTTGTTCTGTTCCACTCCCTTTACTTGCAGACTGGTAGAATCTTCTACCAGTAAGAACCACGTCTCCAGTTTTGGAACACTTAACTGCGCCCTTGGGTTTCTGAGTTTAATCTCCTGCTGTGTGCTTGAGGTCTAGAAGATACATTGTGAACCATTTGGAAAGTTGACTGCGCCTTCTCTGTGCAGATCGCAATGCTTGGGAACTACATGAGCTCTGATACGGGCCTGCACAAATGTTTTACTAGTCACATTCAGCGAATGGGAAAAATGACGAATTTCCTGAATCATTCCCCTTTGGCTATAGAGGTTTCAAAAGGCTTCCATGGGGGCTTTTCCATGGGGAAGCTTCGAAGGCTTCCCCATTACCCCAAGAGACTCAACAACATGGTCAATGGTAGCCATATTCCATCCATTTGAGAGAGGGTCATCAAACCAATCTCTGGAAGAAGTCAGCCCTCTGGGGGAGAATGAACTTTTAGATCATTGTTTTGTGTTCAAATGGTCTGATGGAGTCAGATGCAGCTTGCACACAGCTTCTCCGCCATGTTCTTGCCACACACTCACCAGTGGACAGCAAGATACAGAAATACCCACACTGGTGCCTCCTAACTGTCTTCCTTCTACCCTGCCCAGATCCCTCCTCCTGCACCCCAAGATCCTGGAAAGAAAAAAAAAACTGATGTGACATGGAAGACTCGGGAAAAATCTAAGGCCAATCTGGGAGCCAGTGCCATGTGGAGAGCAAGCCCTGGTGCTACCTGTGCGCCTTTGGAAGGGACAGGCCCTCCCTGCCGTCCTCTGAGCAGAGGGTAAATCGGTCCTGCCAGAAGGGGGTTCCACTTCTGCCCCTTCTGTCCATGATCCATGGGCTGATCACAGAGCCCTGGTCAATCTGTCTCCTTATGCCTTACTAAAGCAGGATCCTCACTCAATGACAAGGTCACCATGAAGGTCAAATGCACTGCATAAATTGTACATGGTGAATCTCCACATTCTAGCATCCTGAAATTAACTTTCCTCTTTGTCTGAAAAGTAATTAATATTGGAGAGAGATGCCAGTAACTCTGGGTTTTTTGTCTTCTTCGTGCATTAGGAGAATAACACAAATGTCACTAAGAGGAGGATATTGTCTTGTGGTCTAAGAACCCAATATACTAAGGATTTTGTTTTTGGTTAAGCAGACATAAAAGGGTTTTCGTGACCAACTGGAAATAAAGCTGTCTGCCCACTCATACTGAGCAAAATGGATTACCATCACTGTTGGGGTAATGAGAGAGATTTTACAGAGCCTACATAGAACCCTCGGGCTGTAAAAGACATTGTTTTTAATCCTAACACTAAGGGTAAAAGCATGCCGATTTGTTGATTCAATCATTCTTTCAGTGAATACCGGGAATCTGCTCTGCACCAGAAATGGGCATGTTGCTTTTAAATGACCCTAGCTTCTTAAACCTTTTGAAAGTAGGTCAAAAGCACCCTTTCAATTATTTGATGAACATAGATTTGTAAGAAATCTATGCATCCAAATACACAGAGAGGTCTCTGCAGTTCACAGGAAGGAATGGAGTTTTAATAAGCAAACACACATACCAGTGGAGACAGATGGTCAACACTTTGTAAATGGATTAGTTTGGGAGTGAAAGCCCGGGTTGGGAAGATATCACAATGCCCTCAGACCCAGCATTAACTTGATAGCCAGCGTGTGTCCTTTGCCCCTAAATGATCCTGTCTCTACCTTGAACCAGAGAAATTCCCTTTGTGCCTGAAAACAGCAGCTGATATCATGGAAAAGAATGTCACTAGCCCCAAGGGGACCCCACCATCTGCCCACCTCGGGCCTGGGCAGACCCAAGGATGGGCAAGACCCCCTGCTGTGACCCATGCCCTGACCCCACTTCCATGGAAATCTGCAGCTGGTAAGGCCTTGGTATGGTGGAGGCCAGGCCGGAAATGTGTGGACAAGGGGTAATGTGACCTGCACAGCTCAGGAAGTTTTTGTCTCAGACCAAAATCTGGGAATCTCAGGTGATCCTCCCTGAGGGTCTTTCCCCCAAAAGTTGAACTGAGAAATTGAGGCAAGGGGTAGGATCTCTGAGAGGCCAGCGCATCCTGGGCCTTCCCCAAGGGCTCTGAAATGCTCAACTCTAAGTGCTTAGGGTAGAAAATTCCAAAGAGACCTTATATACCTTGATTTCTGGAAATCTAAAGCCTCACACCCTCTTTCCCCTGCCCATCATGCCCCACAAATCTGACTAAAACCAAAACCATTCCCCTCCTTCTTGAAGCCAGACCCCAGTTAAAGAAGCAAGATTCTGTGACATACCCTAAGGAGGGTCTGATTGGTAGATTACCTGATTGATACAGTATCCAAAAAGTCTTCTTGTTCCTTAAAAACAGAAACTACACACACACCAGGGACTCTAACACGATTAAAGCATGCTGTCGTTTCTACTCAATGCCCATGCACTACCAGGCCTCCACCAATGCTAAAGCAGTTTTCCAAAGAAAGACAATCTCTGAAGCCAAGGGAGTGTGTGTATTTAGCAAAAGGGTCAGACTTGCTCACTCGGGTCCAGGCGGCTGGAGCTGGGCACTGTGCCTGCTGGGGCCTGTGGGGTGGGAGGTTAGGAGGGGCAGGGAGCCAGGCTCCACCTCTTCTGGGAGCAGGGAGTCGCTCCTTCTCATAAGATGGGGAATCACAGCCTCAGCTAGAGCAGCAGGAGGCTGGGTCGCCCATCTTATCTTGGAACCATACACTTTCTAAAACTCTGCCAAAATCTGGGGGAGAGGGTCTAGGCTGAGTCCTAAGCTCAAGGATATCAAGCTCTGGTTTCAAGAGATCATCAGATAGCTCCAGGAATGCAGTACGAGAGCAGAAGGTCAAGTCAAACTTTCCACATGACATGGGTCCTGTGGCAGGCAGAGAAGGCAAGCACGGGACAGAGGGGAAGACACACATGGCCCCACCACCACCACCACCACCACCACCACCACCACCACCAGCAGCAGCAGCTGGAAAGGCCTTGTCAAGCAACAAAAATATATCGCTCTGGGTATATATTCTTTGGCTTGCAAGTCTGACGTCTAGCCAGCACCCCAAGCGCTGACTACTCGCGTTCCTACCTTGCGCCGGGGCGCCGGTTTCCTTTGAGTTTTGGTGGCAGACCTGCAGTTTCCAAGGCGCTCGGTTCCACCGCTCTGCTGGACAGAAACTCCTTTCTCAATGGTACCGCGGGCAGAGGGGGAACGTAACGTATTCCCGGTGCCCGGAATATTTCTCAGACACTCCTGAGAGGCGGTGACGGCTGTTCACAGCCTGAGTGACCCACAGGCGAAGGCAGTGCTACGTTCCATAATGGGGAAGCTGTTACCCTTTAAAGGGAGATCTTCCCGGCTCAAGAGCCAGGGAGCTGAAGCACACTTGACGCCCGGGAGGGTCCAAGCCCCCAGCACAGGGACTGTGGATTTTAATTTCCTTGTTATCGGTGGATGCCAAAGTGAGATCAAGGGAGGAGAGAGGGCAGGGGAGAAAAGTTAATCTTCGGCATTCCTGCAGTTCACATGGGCCAGTCCTCCGTGAAGGATATTCTGGGCATCAGTGAGTTTGGATAATGGCAAAACCAAAGGGGATCAAGAGTGGAATTCATGGGGCAGGTCAGCAGAGCTCTCAGTTACCCGACTTCTTATGTCTCTCTAATTACTACTTGCTCTGAGAGCTTGGGGAGCTGATACCCCACTAATGCCTTTGTTCTCTCCAATGCCTAATACTGGCAGCGTTTATTTATTTATTTATTTTTCAAAGAAGAAGAGAGAAATCCAGTAGAGCATGTGTTCAGAAGAGCTCAGAAAGTTTTGCAACACAAACCGTGTACACAGAAAGGGCTATGTTTTTACCACCTTCCAGCGAGAACATCTCACTTTCAGTTAGGACAGTTTAAGATACTATTTAGCTTACACACTAAAAACAAAACAAAACAAAACAAAACAACCAATAACAACAAAAAACCACCCAAAAAACCCACATCAAACAAACAAAAAAACCCAATGCCCCAAACAATGCTTTATGAATGAATGACCCAACACTACAGTAGCTGACCTATTTTACTGTGTGAATGACTTTGATGGCCAAAATACATTTTACCAGTTGTGAATGCTGCCAGAGAGCCCTGAATTACACCAAATATGTTTCGCACAGAGCCAATCTGTTCTTGTCTTTCTTGAAGAAGTCACCAGCTTATCAGTGTGAGAAACAGAAAGGAGGAGTTGGTGGTTTAGAAAGAACATTCTCATTCCGTGGAGGTTTTGAGTGAGTCCAAATTTTTTGGCAGGTAATGTTTCTTTCAATATTTTAAAGGCAATGTTCTCATGCTTTGGAGGCCATTCAAAATGAGATGATGGCCCCTTGAGGAGGTTTAACATTAGAATGATACCTCTGCTTACCTGGTTAAAGGTTTTCTTTTCTTTGTACGTTTCCCGGCTGCCTCTTCTTTTCAGGGAACTCTGAAACAGATCCAAGGGACATTCTGTTATGGAGAGGTCACATGCAGGAGTTGGCACTGGGCACACGCCATCCCCACTGGAAGGGGACACACACAATGGATGGAGGCTCTTTTTTTCCCACGGGAATCAAGGAACCACTCAGAGTCAATGTTTAAATGCTGTAGAAGAAGCTTGGCAAGGTCTTTGAACGCTAATGATTGTATTTGGAATATTCCTCAATTATTCAGTTGAATGGAAAGGAAGGGTGGTTTGGACAGTTTGTAACAGTGGGAGGGAGAGGAGAGAAATAGGTAGTTTGGGAAATAGATACATAGTATTTCTGGAGCTGTCCTGCCTTCCTAATTACGTTTTGATGGGGCTAATATCAAAATTAAACATGGTTTCCTGAGTGCCGATGGGTAAATGGCCAGATAACACAGTGGTAGGAAGGGAGAGAAGGGTGGCCCGGGTTTATGGAGAACACTTAGTCTGGGCTGCAACACTCTTCAGGCACAGCCCCCTCCAATTCATGACCAAACCTACATCTTCAAGGTCCTGTAAGGCCATAATGTATTCACGTGAAGAGGCCTTAGCCGTGTTTAGCCGAGTCCTTTAGTGGGCTGGGTCCCTGCCTAGTTTTACATACAATGCAGTACATATGAGCCTGCTTTCCGCAAGAAGTGTGTCTGAAATGCAAACATGAATATAAATAAAAGGGGCCAAGGGATGTCTGAAATAGAATAACAGGGGGCCAAGACAGTCCCTACTAAAGTCAAGTATGAAGACCGAAAGGACTGGCTGGAAGAGCGAGAAACATCCCAGCGGGGAGACAGAGGGATGCGAAACCTGAAGACTAATGTAATCCTGAGACAAGCCAGAAGAAGGCAGTTTGGAAAGCTTAAGACTTGGGGGCTTTCATTCAGATCCTGGTAAGCCTGTGACTAGGAGGGAGTCTCCCTTCCCTACTCAAGGCACGGACCTGGAAACTTGGATCTTCTGGGAGTTCATCTTAAGGGGGCTCAGAGCCTCTTTGCTTCATTCCTTTGCTGCAACCCACCTGCCAAAATAGCCTGGGAAGGAGGCTCTCACACAAGTCCCTTATATCACTGTCAGACCTATGGTAATGAACTCAGTTCTGTTTGCACTCCAAGTGCCTCACTCACAGAAGGCCGGGCAGTGCCCTTCACTGAGGAAATTTATCAAACAATTAAAATGCCATCCCCTTAACCTCTTAGGAGGCGGGAGGCCAGAAGTCTGGAGGAAACAAAACAACAAAAAAGTAATTGAGAGAAGGGTGAGAAAGTTACAGAATCAGCATGGAGTGTGGGCACTCCCTGGTCAACCAAAGCGGATGTGGGGAAGCTTATTTCTAAATCCCAGCTGCAGAAGCAGCGTTATTTCATTTAGTCTTTTTGGTAAAGGCAGGGTCAAACTACAAAGAAAGCCAGCCTTCATAACAGATTATATTAAGTTGTTTTGGGAAGGGCTTGAGATTTACCACCCATAGGACACAGGTTTTCCAAGATTCTTCACTTAGCAGTGAAGGAGTTTCTTTGACTTGAATGAGCCGAGTGAGATGAACACTTCTAGCAATTCACTACAGAGAAGACTTCCCATAAAGAAGCAGGGAGAGAAACCATTCCCAAGGCTTCAGTCTCCGGGATCGAATTCTGGGACCAAGGTCAGTGCAGTGAGCCTGCGCTCTGCCACCCTGTACCGCATCACCTTCTCCCAGTGAGTGCAAAGCACATTCTGCACACAATGAAAGAAAACTATCTGGAGGGGAGATGAAAGCTACAAGTGGAGACAGAATAATTACGGTGCTGCATTTCAGTGGGTGAGGAAGGGCGCACCTTCGGGGCGAGTCCTCCTGCTGGGAGGCAGCCAGTTGGGGAGCCTGGGCACACAGATTCCTCAGACCAGCCTGATGGATCTTTCCCCTGAATACAACTATCCGAGCCCCATGATCCTTCTAGTGAATCACGGAATATGTGGGGGGCCATGGGATCCCCAACACAGATCCCAGTCACAGGGAGAAATACAATGAAAAACAATGCAAAGATTAAAATTAACTAGAAATTGGCAGGACCCAGATGCAAGAAACCATACAATTTTGGTGACAGACATGAAGGAGTGCTTGATGCTGTCCGACGAGAAGACCCTATTTTATAAAGATGTCACATTTCTCCCACATCATTGTTTAGTATGACGTCATTTTAACCTAATTCCTCTTTCTTTCCATATATATACTGTAACGTGTATAAACATGTAATATATACACATACATACACAAAAAGTATAAGTGTGTGTATGTATATATACATGCGCACACACACACACACAAACACTTCTGTATATATGTGAAGGAGGTAAGAGTGGGGAAAGACTTGATAAAATGACTCAAAAATTCATCGAGAACAGGGGTTGGCGATCTAAAGCCCTCAGGACAAATTAACCTGCGGCCTGTTTTGTAAATGAGTTTCACTGGAGAACAGCCTTGTTTCTTACATCTACTCCTGCTCTGCACTAACAAAATCAGAGCTGAGTAGCAGGGACAAACCATGGCTGGCAGAGCCTGCAACATTTACTATCTGGCCCTTTTCAGAAAGTTTGCTGACCTCTGACCTAGAAAAATAAACTGGTAAAAACAGCCAAGAACACTTTGAAAGGGAAGAATCATGACAGTAAGCTTGCACTATCACATGTAGAAATACAATATAATGGTTTGGAGCTGGTACCAAAAAGTCAGATGAATGGAACAAAACAGCTCAGAGATAAAGTTGAGGGTACATGAGATTTTAAAAATTGATACAGGTAGCATTTTATTAATGTTTATTTTAGTTTTTGAGAGAGAGACAAGGCACAAGTGAAGGAGGGGCAGAGAGAGGGAGACACAGAATCTTAAGCAGGCTCCAGACTCTGAGCTGTCAGTATACTCAGAGCCCAACGCGGGGCTCGAACTCAAGAGCTGTGAGATCATGACCTGTGCCGAAGTCGGACGCTTAACTGACTGAGGCACCAGGTGCCTCCGATACAGGTAGCATTTTAAAAGTGGGAGAAAGAATGGGTTATTTGGTATATGTTGGGAGAATAACTGGCTAACACACTAGAGAAAAAATCAATACCATATATCAAAAAACATTCCAGATGAGTTAAATATCTAGACGTAAGAAATCGTAAAGGAACGAGAAAGAAAAGAGATGAATTTCTGTTTGTTTTGGGGGTATAGCCTTTATAAACAGAAGCCAAAATATCCAAGGGAAAGACTGAGTGGATTGGTAAAATATAAAATGTTTATATATCAAAAGAAACCATTTACAGTATTAAAAAGCAAATGGCAAAATAGAAAAAAAAGGTTTCTAGCACAAGGCAGACAAAAGAGTAATATTTTTGTAAGCAACAGGAAAATCATTTTAATTATTCTTTAATAATTAAAAACACACGATTTTTAGCCAACAAACACATGAATACTAGCAATTGAAATAAAATATCGTTTTTCCATTTAGAGGCTTATAGACCAAAAGACGTAGGACCCCCGAGTGTTAGCAAAGGCCCACAGAGGAAGGAGCTTCCATCCAGATGGGTAAGAGTGGGGACTCGGGGGCAATTCAGCCTGGTAAATGAACACACTGTGACCCAGGAATTCCACCTCTGGAAATGACTAAGTCCTGATGGCTAAGATGCCCTTCACTCATCCAGCATTAATCCAGTATCTCCTATGTTGCCTTGTCTGGGAAGCAGGGTAACAGACTTTTTTTTTTTTAAGTTTATTTAGAGAGAGAGAGCGAGAGAGTGAGAGAGCAAGAGAGAGAGAGAGAGAGAGAGAGAGAGCATGTGCAGGGGAAGAGCTGAGAGAGAGAATCTCAAGCAGGCTCTGCACTGTCAGCACAGAGCCTGACGCAGGGCTCGAACCTACAAACCGTGAGATCATGACCTGAGCCTAAATCAAGAGTTGGACACTTAACCCAATGAACCACCCAGGTGCCCCACAAATGTTTGTTTTTAAGGAGCTTACATGAGACTGAAGAGTCAGATGATAAGAAAGTAAACAAGAACAAAACAATTTCAGGTGGTCCAGGGAAATGTGGAGAGATAGGTGGGGAGATTTCTGGGTAAGAATGCTTATTGCACTACCTTTTACAATAGCAAACGAATGCTGTGGAGGGTATTAAAATGATGTATTTGAAGAATGCTTAAAGAGGAAATACAGTACATTAAAAGAAAAATGCAGGTTGCAAACAGCATGTATTTTGTGATTTCAATTTACATCTAATAAAATATAAATACATGTATGTATTACATATGTATGTTAGGAAAGCAGACTGGAAAAACATATGTCTAATGTTAACAGTGTTCATCGTCAGGTGACAGAATTCCGAGTGATACTAATTTTCTTTCTTTGTGGCTTTTTATAGTCTCCAAATTACCTATGGTGAGTATGATTTCCTTTATAATTAAAAAGAAAAACCCAGAAAATTATTAAAGAGGTCAGAGAAAAGAGGCTATCACCGATCTATATAGGATTACAGTGGTGCCTTCTCAGAAGTTATTTGCCATCTTTCTGGATCTTTTTGTAAGCAGACATTGTTTTTATTAGCCTGAGGCTTCAGGTATAACCTGTATATATATATATATATATATATATAAAACCTGTATGTATGTTGGCTAAAAAGACCAAGAAACCTCGTGAGGAGGGGGGAAACTGGTTAGGTGCCCAACTGCACTTCAGGCCACTGGCACATGGCTCTCTCACAAACTGCCATTCAGTCACAAGGCCCCCAGCCTGGGGTACACTGACCTCCTGGGCTCACTACTGTGAGTCTCATCCAGGGCTGAGAGCTAAGTGCTTTGGGTATATTGGCCCTTCGGGTATATTGGCCAAGGGACCGTAGGTAGAGGATGATTTCTGTGCACATTATTCACAGCCAGTTCATTCCTCTAGATGACTCAGAGATCCAGTGGAGAATTTCTTCCAAGAAACAATAAGGAAAAGAGGAAAATGTTGCCCATCAAATAAACTG